ACATAGATACATAGATACATACATACCTACATACACATACACATACACATACACGTACAGGCCCCGAAAATCAGAAAGAAACCTAAAGAGACCTCCACACGGCAGTCGAGGTGCCGTCGATCAGCGACCACTCGAGAGCCTCCGAGCTCTCTGCTAGGTCTCCTGGGCTCGGACTTCGGGTTTCTGAAGCGCTGCAGGGTCAGGGGTTCAGAGTTCAGGGCTAGGGTCTAGGGTCCAACAAGCTTTAAAGCCTAGGGTTTTTAGGGTTTCGACTCACACACTCGCGCAAGGCACGACGACCGACTTGGGGCTTCGGCGCTCACACTCGCTGATCCCGAAATCCAGTCCATCCGAAATAACCTAGTTCTGGACTTCGGTCACTACGTGTTTGAGGATCATGCTCCCAGGGGGGGGGAGATCACCAAACGGCCTTAAGCAATGACAATGCTCCCCGCGGCCAACCCTTCTAAACCTCTTCCGCAGGGGTTAGGCGTCACGTTCTGCTTTCGCCCCAAAAGCCCCAAAAAAGCCCCCCCGCCCCCAAGCCCTCCCAAACCCCAAAATTCAAATACCCACAAAGGCCTCTGAACAGAACCATCTCCAAGGATCAAACCGCCGCCTGCGCCCAAACCCCGAAATTTCTGATCCCAAGCCCTACAGATCTCCGACTCAAGACCCTGGGACCCTTAAGCTCGAACCTCCAAAATCCAACTCCTGAACCAACAGCTAGAATAGATTATATAGGGTCTTGGGGCATAGTCGTTTAATTTTTAGTTTGAACCTGGTTATGACTTCAGACATAGCGCGATATGGACAAACCCACCCTACATCCTGAATGGTCTTGACCCTTGTGCAGAACAAGCAACCCTAACCCAAAACGCTAAAGGAAGCCTACACCCTAAACCCGAAAACCTAACCCAAAGGCCCTGTTGGAACCCTACACCCTTGCCCCTAAATCCTGAAGTCCTGAAGCTGATCGTAGCACTCAACCCGGTAATCCGCAGCATGAATCCACAAGGCGATATCTGACTTCTAAACAAGATGTACATATACATGTACACGTATACATAAATATATATATATATATATATATATATATGTGTGTGTGTGTGTGTGTGCGTGTGTGTGTGTGTGTATATGTATACATATTATAATATATACACATATATATATATATATATATTATATATATATATATGTATACATGACCATACACATATACATATATAGACCTACACATGCCTTCGTATGTGCGTATATATATATATATAGATGTATGTGTATACATATATATATATATATATGTATAAAGCGTACGTATGCATACGTGCATGCTTGTGTGTGCATATGCATATGTATATGTATGTGCACATGTGTGTTACATGTGTTGTTGATACCCACTGTGAGTATATGTATATATATATATATATATTTATTTATTTGTTTATTTATTTATTCATTTATATTTATATTTATACAGGGAACATATATGCATGTGTATATGTGTACATACACATACATGCATACATATATATATATATGTGTGTGTGTTTGCATTTTTCATACATAAATATATATATATATATATGTATATATATATATATGTATACACACGTGTTCTTACTCTTACGGTGTTTATGCATGGCTTACCTGTAGCCGGAAAGACCTACCTTTTGAAGGAACCAAATATTAAGGAACCCTAAACAAATAGGTCTGTTCGGCCACAGGACCTAAACCCTTTCCAGCATGGGCTTGGATTGCGTGCCAGCGAACACTTAAGTCCTAAACCCCAAACCCTAAACCCTAAACCCTAAAACTCTAAACCCTAAACCCTACTGTAAACCCTAAACCCTAAGCCCTAAACCTTACTGCAAACCCTAAACCCTACACTTATATACCCTAAACCCTAAAACCCTAGACCCTACGACCACAGGGCCGACTGGGCTCCCACCAGCGCCCAGGAGGCCAGGCTCGGGCTCGCACAGGAGCCCTGGCGTCCGGGAATTACAGGGCTCGGTGCCTGGGGTTTGCGTGCATCTGTGGGTTTAGGGGTCTAGGGTTTAGGGTTTAGGGTATACAAGTGTCTTTTCGTGTGCGTGCGTGTGTATACAGATGTATCACATACAGGTCTACATCTGGAGGTAGCTATAGGTTTACATTCTAAATAAAGATCCTTTGAGCATGGACGTTGATATGAATCTAGATCTGGATATGGATATACATCGGGATATAAATAAATATGGGTATAGATCTAAACCTTATAGACGTAGATATAGACATCAATACAGGCACAGATATAAATACAAAACCAGACATGGATGTGGATATGGATGTGGATATGGATGGGTACAGATATAGACATAGATATAGATACAAACACAGTACAGAGTTATATAGATATAAGTATAGATATAGCTAGAAATGTAGAAATAAGTATAGATTCGATAGAGACATAGGTAAATATAGATATAGATATAGGTAAAGACATAGCTAAAGATATAGACATAAAGACATAGGTGTAGATATAGACATAAATAAAATACAGATATGAATACAAGCATAAATGTAGATATAGACATAAATACAGGTACAGATATAGATACAGACATAGATATGGAAAGGGACATGAGCATGGGCATTAATATGGATATGGGTATTGTTAAAGATATAAGCAAAAAAAATTATAGACATAGAAAAAATAGACATAGCTATAAATATACTTTTTAGATATAGTCATAGATGTAGATATAGAGTGATATAGATATAGATGTAGCTGCGGATATGAATGTACAGATGATACAGATACAGTTATAGAGTGAGGGAGAGAGAGAGAGAGAGAGAACAAACACAGGAGATAGAGACAGAATTAACGGTAGAGGTACTGATAGTATAAAAATATGGTCTGTGTATATAGATATGCTTGGAACCCGAAGAAGGGTTTAGGGCTTATAGGGCGTTAGGAGGGTTCTGTAGACTCGGAGACTCACTCACTCAATCACCCACGCACACACACCTTGAAGGACCATGCCAGAATGGACAGCAGGTTCGCGAAAACGCATAATGGCATAACCCCAGCATTCGATCCCGAGTCTAGGGTTTGGGGCTTGGGGTTGCGAGGTCGCGAAGGTTAGACTACCAAAACGGAGTAATCAGGATAGCAATAGCAGTAACAATTACCGCGCTATAACACTGACACTACCGAAAATACTCACGAACACAAACGAGTGATGTCAAGCATGGGGAAAACTATTTCTGCCGGAAGACTTCTCATTATTACAATCCTACTAGTCGTTAGTTTCATGACAAGAACCTTGATTACAATAACTTTTCAGAAAAATATAATCATACTGGACATAAACTCTAGTTCACTAACGTCACCAATAGCAATGTGGCTAATTGGAAGCGTCTGGCCTCCTCGTGCTGCCCCTCGCTCTCTGAGGGCGAATCCATGTCCACCGCCCAATCCTGCTTCAGACTTGCGAAGACTCTGTGGCTCGAACGGTTGAGGGTTCTTTTTCCCTCTCGGTTGAGGGTTTAGAACTGAGGGCTTTGAGGTTTGAGGTTTCTGCGGGGTTTAGGGTTGCAGCTTTGGAGTTGAAAATTCTGGATAAGGCCATCTCACGTCAGAGAAATGCACGGATAACGGCGCAGGATGTCGAGGGTCTCAAAACGGAGAGGCCCTCAGCATCAGCAGTAGACACAGATTGAAACAACACACCGCTCCAAGATATCTCCACTTCCACGACAAGGCAAGGAACACTCACATGTGAAAGTTGCAGACCCAGTCCCTCCAAACACCGGACCACCGCGAATACCGCAGCAACCGAAGTCGCATGAGGCCCGTTGAGTTCCCCTGCGTTCACAGCCGCTGCGACAGAGCGGCATGCTGCCTAGCGACACCACTGCACATCGCACCACCGACCCGAAACCTCAAACCCGGAATCCTAGACCCATCCAAAGTCCTCCAAGGACATACCTGGGCTCATCACAAGCTTCTTGCGGCGGGGGGCGGGGGCAGCATCCACTTGAGCCAAAAGGTCTTTGAGCAGTGAGGGTCGAGGGTGAGACGAGTTCGGGCTCAGGATCTTCCATGTTTCGAAAGCTGAGGCGGTTATTTTTCGAAAGTCTCTGGATCTGACGCAGGACCTCGCTTCAGAGAGCACCTAGATGTGATCGTGATCGGCTCCTCAGCATTCGGTTTAGATAGCTGCTGACCTGAGCCCGAGTGCTCGACTTCTTGCGACCATCATTGGCTTCGTGTTTGCAAACAATTTCGTATGATCATGATAATACTTATTATTACTATTATTATCAAGATCACTTAGTATCACTACTATTGTTGCTATTTTAATATTTGCTATCCGCTTGTCATTGAGGGTAAGGAAGACGGCAAGAAGAGAGAGAAGCGGCTCTTAGCCCGAGGCTTCTCCGGGAGCTGGTGGCTACAAGTTGCCGCTTCGAGTCCCTAAACCCCTAAAGCCTAAACCCCTAAAGTTTCAACCCATAAACCCAAAACCCCCGAACCCTTTTTGCAAGAGTCCTGGCAACCCCTGAACCCTAAAACCCTAAACCCCGGAACCCGAAAAGTTAAGGACCCTTTTTCCGCGGGCTTTGAGCTACGATGGGGATCTCAGTGAAAGCTCTCATTTAGAACTCCCCAAGAAAGGGTTTAGGGTTTTGGGTTCAAGGCCTTCGAACACTCCAAAACCGCTAAACCCCAAACCCTATAACTGCCATGTCTGAAATCCTGCTTGCCCGGCTGCCCCCGACCCGCAAGGGCTTATCACAGTTTAGGGCCTGTGGGGCTTCAGGGCTTTAGGGCTTTTAGGGTTTAGGGTTTAGGGTTTTAGGGTTTTAGGGTTTTTAGGGGTTAGGGTTTAGGGTTCTAGGGTTTTTAAGGTTTAGGCAGGTTTAGGGTTTAGGGTTTTAGGGTTTTTAGGGTTTCGGGCTTACGGTTTTTGTTGTTTGGGTTTACGCTCTCGCAACTCGGACTCCGCCACGTTGTTAGGGCTCAGGTCTTAGTGAGGGTGAAGGGTTTAGAGACTCCTTGCTGCGCAGATTTTCTGAGGCACTGCATCTTAGCATTGACCAGATTTGAGAACCTCTTCATGAAGCTCTCCTCCAGGAGTTCATACTTTCTCAAAAGGTACATACACATACATGAATGTGTGTATAAATATGCCAAACAACTTATTTCGAATTGTTGGAGCTCTTGCATCAGTGTGTACTCATCTACACATAAACTAATTTTTGAAGCTATTACATGTAAAGCCCTTGTAGATCAAAAGATGTTGAACAACCCTATCCTGCACACCGCCATTTCGAACTCCATTGCTAGCTGTGGGTCGGATTCTCTGGAAGAGCACTTCGGATTTCAGGGTGTTTCGGGTTCCCTTTCACGTAATGTGCACATGCACATGTGCGAGTTGTAAGTTGCAGCCAACTGCAGCCACGGTAAGAACCCTGTAGACGGTAGCCCTCTTCAATTCAAACTCCAGTATGCTCTCCCAAGCTACTCGGCACATCAACGACCAGCACAACAACTCCGAAGCCCGAAAAATTTGGAGATTGCGCACCCAGCCATGTTCCGCCGTGATGAAGAAGTACTTGCGCTCGTCCCTGGGATCTACCCACCTCGGGACAACGTGGGTTCTCCAACAGGGCTTCAAAAGATCCTTCAGCATGGAACTAAAGCTCGGAGAACAGTTTCCAAGAAGTTCCAAGCTCGATGGCTGCTGTCAGCACGCCAACGGCTGAGCTGGGGGGCCAACTCCTCCTCGGCCAGGAAGACAGCCCCGGGCATCAAGTACGTCTTCACCTCCCCACAGTCTGCTGCAGGGCATGTCGGCTGCCTCATCATAACTCCAACAACCATTAGCAAATTAGCACCACATCAGCAGATTCAGCATCAATCATTATCGATCACAAGAATCGCCACCGACAAATAATCCTTATCCTCATCGTCGCTATAACAAGCAGCAGCAGCAGCAGCCGATGTATTATCGTCATCGTGATAGCACAAGAAGACAGAGCATCGTAGCAGCAGTAGTCACAATATAGGGGTGGTAGAAGCAGTCGTAGTCGTCGTCGTCAAAGAAGTCGTTGTAGTGGTAATATGGTGGTAGTAGTAGCAGTAGGAGTAGGAGTAGGAGTAGGAGTAGGAGCAGGAGCAGGAGCAGGAAAAGGAGCAG